GAATGAAACAGGAATCGACATGATTTAAATTTTAAAGAAAAGTGAATTCAGATAAATCCAGAAAACAAACCATGAAAATTCGAATGGCGAAAAAAATGTTTTCAAAATATCAAAGAGCAAAAATTTATTTCAGGATAATTTTTTTATTGAATAATCCAGGAGAAATCCTGGTAGGTCATGATCCAGAAAAGCAGGGGCCCTGGACACAAAACTGTTTGAAGTCCCCTGGTTGTTACTTAAAACGAAATTAGTATGTTGTTTAATGATTAAGTGTTTTCAAATATTTATAGCATAAATAAGTTATGAAATGTTAATAAATTTAAACTTATATTTATTTCAATTTTTGTTAACTCATGTTTTTAATAGACAATTCTTTTAGAAAAACGCAAATAGAACACATTTGTAACATTTAGGGGACCTCCAGAAATGTGGGGTCCTAGACCTGGGCCTCGCAGGCCTTATGCTAAATTAGGCACTTATTCTGCCATAGTTTTATTGCATTATGATATTTTGAATATTTTTTTTTTTAAATTTGAAACATTATGCTGTATTCTAGGTTTACCTGAACTAATTTTTTTCATTCCTTATGTATGAGAAAGAGAATTTGCCATAGAGAATGTTTCCCTCGGTATAACTTCCTCTTAAGTAAATATATATGAAACTATTGACTACCATAAAATTTAAATGATCGAAAAAGATCTTAAAATTAAACCCTTTTAGCAATCCGAAGACCATTCAGCCATTAAATAGACGAATGTACACTTTTGAAGATTACAAGACATTACTCAATAATTACACATTTACCATGTACAGAACTATTAGTACTTCCGTAATGAAAAAGACATATCAGTAAAATCATTTCCTTTAAAAATTGCTTAAAATAAATATAGCAATACTTAAAAATTGATATAGTTAGCTTATGTTTTACCAAGCATTTTAATAAAAAATTCATCAGAATATCATACGAAGATGCAAAGTCCACTCTCATTCGAGCAATGTACTTACATATTGTCTTGATATTTGACTGTACGATTTTAAATCTGGAAATACTTGGCATTATACGGATTAAAAATGGATGTCACTGGCGACTTTTAATAAATAAATAAAAAGTTGAAATTATTCTATTTTTTATTTTGTGTCAGTATACGCGTTTCCGTTTTGTACGTGATTTCGTAGTGTTGTGTAGTACTGATTTATTGATTCTTTTATTTATTTATTTATTTCAACTTGTATGTTATTATTGTTAATATGATTTTGTTATTCAGGGATATTTTTCTCCTCCTGAAAAGAAAGCGAATATGACCTTAGGCTCTTACTTCTAGCTTTTTCTCGTTATTCGTGGCACAAACAACTCTGTTGGAAGGCATTTAAATAAATTGGTTACTAAACATTAAGGTTAGGATAACCGGACTGGCAGGGCGCTGGACTCACGTTTGGGAGAACGGAATCCGACAGAAGACTCCCCATGTAGTAAATGGGAACTGGTGTAATCGGCCGAGTCACAAGGCCCTCCATTTTCCCATAACAAATCAATACCTCTGGGGGTACTGAATTGGAGATTGATTGTTCTTTGGTTCAGGTCAAAATTACGATCTGTGGACGAATAAATGGATGTATGAATGGGTCCGCCCTATATGACGCATGGGTGTGGAAGAATTCAAATTCTTGGCCATATGAGTTTACATCTCGTCTACCAATGTTGAACGCTTTAGCTTTGTAATTTTGAACGCAATCTAGAACACAAGGAAATTCTTGGATCAAGTACTTGGGAGACATTTGCCTTAGTGGAGATCTTTTTGATGGAATCTACCCTCATTTGCGTTACACGGAGGAGAAAACCACGAAAACCACCCACGGTTAGCCTGACACTATAGGGACTCTAACCCATAATCCGTTTACCACTGAGGATATTTTACGTCAGCGCTGTTGTCGGTGCGAGTCGGGTGTGGAATTTTCCTATCGACCAGCCATCTCTGGGATTCGAACCTGGTTCATTACATTGAGAGGATCATGCTCTATCTCCTGAGCAAAAAACATTTTGAAGTAATTATAGGTTTGAAGTTATTATACAATTGAGCTAAGAGATATTTCTTTCAGATACTGATTGAAAGCTCGAGTAAGTGTCCTCTTTCTTAATTTTTTTCAAGGAACTTTTTAAAAATATAAAATGCTGTTTTAGTAAATTAAATTAGGCTTGTTTTACATCTTTTAAGACCTTTTTTTTACATAAAATATTGACAATATGCTATTAATCAGTAAAGTGTCTGTAAAAACTTATTTTAAAGTTTCTATATTTCATTTTAAAGTCATTAAAACAATATACAACTTTCCATTACATCGCATTTTTTATTAAGAAAGGTATAGGAAAGTGCAGATTATTATGTAATTCACGTAAAAGGGCGAAGAACTATTACTAGTCAAAATATAGTTATACCTTAAGAACTCGTGAAATGTTATGAATTGTTAACTAATACCGAAATTTAAGAACTTTTCAAACAAGATTAAATTACTCTTTAGCAGTTTGGAAAGTAACACACCCACCAAACAAGTCAGAAATTATTTTCTCATGTAGACAAAAGGGTGTTTCCGATGTCTGAAATTTCATAAAGTTTATGAATTATAACAAAATAAAAACTACTACATTAGTGAGGGAAATGATTTATGAAGTTTGCAGTTTGCGTGCAAGTTAAATATGATTTTCATAAAAGTTCAACAATCGTTTGCAAATATTTTTTTCTCTTTTGTGAGGTTTTTACTGAAGAAAAGCTTGAAAACTTAAAACCAAAAATGAAATTGTTTTATAAATCGTCTTGCTGATTTTAAGACATTTATTGAAACTTTGAGTTTTTGTCCAGAATTTTCTTAATTTATTTAAAAATTATTTCAGAAATTTAAGAAAATGAACTGGCTCTTTAAAATTTCTAAATTTTGACTGACTTTGGGGTGAGATTGTTTTTATCACCACACAAAAAGTTACAGTTAATTTTATTTTTTATGAGCTATCAACCAAGAAAATGTTCCCAAGCTTCGTCGTGCCGAAATACTATAATTTTGCAACACTTTTGGAACTTATAAGATTTTCTAATATTATCTAGTTTTTATTTAGATAGTTTATAAATCTAATTTTTAAAAAAAATTCATAAATTTTAAAAATAATCAACTTTGCACTTTATTATTTTAAAACCGGATAAACAAAGCTAAAATCCAAATTTATGAGCAGAAATATTTATAAGACTATTTACCTTTTTAGAAAAGTTTTTTATAAACTCATTTTAAAACATTATCAAGTTGATACTAGTATTTGAAAATAAGTAAGAATATTTTATCCCTCTTTTTGGGAAGAATAAATTACTATTGACAAAAATTGTTTTTTATTAACATTTATAGAATTTATATATTCGAAATCACCGTCCCGAATGTTTTTAGAATTCTTAACGAAAATAAAATTTAAAATGAATACATATTTGGCGTCACAAAATAATTTTAAAGAGTAAAGGACCAAAAACATCATCGAAATTTAACGAATCACTTATAGGAAAAGCAGAATAATAAACATCAAAACCAGTTTGATTGCCCAATGAAACTTGATACAATTTTTAATATTTGTCTTTCATTCTTCCGACAGTCAAGCAGGTTTTCATATTTTCAAGTAGAAACTTTCTCAATAGTGATTCGTTAGACTACGATAGTTTTTTCACTGCTTTTTTAATCTTGAGCTGCGATGGCTCAGTGGTTAAGACACTGAACTGTCATTTTTCAGAACTGTGTTCGATTCCCTGTGATGGCTTGAAGTCAATCCAGCTCTAGACAGTGATGGGTGACAGCTTGACTGGGAAGTAAAGACGGTCTGTGCGCAATCATGTCGTTGGGCACGAAATTGTGGATCCTGGCTCACAACGGGCTGTTGCTGGCAGACTTTACTTCAGTATTAGTTTGAAGTCCCAATGTGCAAACTGTTTTGAATTCATTTTTGACAAGGATTTTACAGAGTTGCTATGATCTGGAAATTTTTTTTTAAATGTTTCATATCGAGTAAAAAAAAAAATCAATTCCCCTAAAGATGATACGTATGTGTGAAAAATCCTTGAAAAGGCTTTTGTAATGCTGAGGTGGAAGTGAATTTAAGCATTTTTCAGTAACCTTATAAAAATTTAGCTATAACTTCTTACGGATTAAGGGCGTAGATTACGGCCCATCCTGTTTTAGTTAGTGAAATCTTTAACACGCTGAATGCCATGGGGGTCACCGGTAACCGGCACTGAGCTTGTTCGTAGAGCCACGGGGGTCACCGGTGAAGACAAGATTATTAGAAACCCATAATTCGAGTAAAATTTTAATGTTTTTATATTATTATCGTTGCTAAATTGGTTTGAAGAAATTATACCAATATAGAACATACGGAAATAATTTTATTTATGTGCACAGAGATGCCAACTTGCTCTGGACAGCGAATAAATATTTTCAATGGTAGTTTATTAAATGTGATTCTTGGTTTAATAAATTCAATATAGTAGATTTTTATCCATCACTATTTCTAAACAATTCGTAGGCTTATATAATTGACCAATAATATTTGTCAATATATTTGCTCCAATATATTTGCCAATAATATTTGCAAATTTAGTTTGTAGTTATTTACCGGTTGACCAGACGGGCAAGCAATGTAAAATTAGCGTGGCATTCAACCTGTTAATTGTTTGTATTTTTTTTCTAATTCAGGCACTTAAAACATTCGGACATTTATTTTGTTACTTTTTATGTACTAACCATTACTATTTAATTTCTTACGGGTAAAAAATAGTCAAGTATAATGCACCTGCATTATGGAAAAGCTGCTATATGTTGTTTAAAACACTTATATCTTTTCTCATACTTACGAATGCAAAAGCAAATAGATATAAGGATGAAGTAATAAATGAGTGGAGCATAATAATTCAGAAAAAAAAGAAGCTAAACTAATTATTAGCATAAAATATTGGATTATTAAATTACCCAATTACCTTTTCCCCGTCAACTGGGTAATATGACTGATCGTGGTGCCATGGCGTCTTCTTATCTGTTCCGGCATCTTTAACAAGCACATGCTCGTGATAAAACGATATCTCCTGATAAAACAAAAAAAGAATTAGCAAATAAATCTTCATTATTCTATTTTCTTAATTAATGAAAACAAATGAAATTACTTCGAAAGTAACACTGAAATGAAAGTTATTATAAATGCAGATGAAGGGGATAATCTTATAAGGATATCAATATTTCATTTCAGAGAATAAGTCTAAAGTATTATTAACAAGCTTTTTATAAATGCTACATAATTATAACTAATCTGTTAATTGTTCTTAAGAGTAGTTCGTTATCATGTGATCTAAGAATTGAAGAGTTTAGAAGGTCCTAAAATAGCATGTTTGAAGATAGGCTTTAATGAGACTTAGATAAAATGGAAAAAAATTTTGCGATCACAAAATTTCAATTAAAAAACTTTCTGCAAGCAATTGATTAACTCTTGCAACTAGTCTCAATGCTTTCCTCTCATGTTGGTGAAATTTGTTTAAAAATCATGGAATTTTTTTAAATGTTTTAACTCTATATTGATTCATGCCACAAGGATGAGTTTGGTAAAAAAAATTTTAAAAAAATCTGGAAATAAAAATCCAAAAATGTTTGTTGCAAAAACACTTTAAATTTGAGCAAGAAGCAAAATATATATACAAAATGATTTTAACTTCTGCACGATATTATTAACATAACAATGAAATATTCTAATTATTAATTCATAACTGAGAGAAAACTTCTAATATGAAAGTTTTTAGAAAAATATGAGATAATCTTACTGGATTTACTTTTTTAACTACATAAAAACTAATCAAGATTTTTTTTTGAACATTATAGTTTGAAGTTTTATTCGAAAAAAAATATTTATAAGTAACATTACTAAAAAAAATAATAATAAGTGATTTTAAAATAAATTCTCTAGATATATCATTAACGAATAAAACAATGACTTTTATAACGATTAATCGTGAAAATATCAATAAATAATTATTACAAATGTCATAGGTTTTAGAAAATCAGTTAAGCCATTATAATTACAGAATTTTCTCTATTTTTTAACCAGTGAGTAAACAATAACTAATAAGCAATTTTCTTTTTTCTTCATTTTTTGCTTTTCTATATTATTTTTCCGCCAATGAACTAACTCGTCAGTTCGGTTTTAAAATCACGATAAGGAAAAATACTCATTAAAAAATAGAAAAGAAAAAAAAATCGGGGAGAATTCAAACTTTGAATATAGTTGACCAAATAGTTTCAGAGCATTCAATGTTTTTTTTTAAAAAATAAAAACGTGTTTTTAAATTTTTATTACTCAACGTTTCATTTTTTTTACCAAGCTTATGGTATCGTGATTTAACTTACGTAATTTAAAATGAAGTTTAATAGAATAAATGTTTAAATAGCTGGCTTCTCAAAAATTCAAATTGCTCCATCTGCTTGCGCTGTCAAAAATTTTCAACGCCTGTAGGAATCCCGCTGTATTTAGAAATTTGATAGTGTGTTAGAATGCAATTACGTTTAACCATTTAAATATTTGTTCTTAATCTTCAATTAAATGTCTTTTTCCAAACCAGAAATAACATGCACACAAAACCTGTTTACACACTTTATTACGTCACAGTATTTCATATTTGCTTTACTTTCATTGTTGCATCACTTCTAAGCAGCCACAAGAGTGACAAATATTTCGGCCACATCACCCTCAATGAGTCAGGGGGATCGGGGGATTTTATGGCCAAACGATTATGGGGAACAGGGGGGGGGGGCAACTACCTGCTACTCATGCTTTCATAGAACATTCTTTTTCCCCATTCTCAATAGTCTGGGGAGTGAGTAATTTCGGGAAAAACTCCGGTGTGAGTGTATATTTAAAGCCAGTGTTGGATACACAGGAAAGACAAACACCCCTCACTTGATCCGATCCCCCCTCACAGGAGAACGATGCAGATCTCAGAGGGGTCGATGATGTGGATGGAGATCTTTTGTGGACGTAGCACATTACAGCTACTATAGCAAACGATTTTTTTCCTTGTGTGTTCTTTTATCCACCATTATCTAGACAAAAGATTCGAATAATGTTGTAAAAGTAAAATATTGTTTCTATGTTTGCCCATTTTGTGAAATGCGTAATTTTTCGGTATACTTCTGGAACTAGTATACATTTTTTAGTTTCTCTTTCTTTTAAAAAAAAAAGAAGAAAAAAAATCTTCGCGAAAGACTTAAACGAAAATTTTAGAATTTTCTTCTTTTTTTTTTAAATGTTAAATCTAGCTCGAAATTTCAATGAATAAAATTGGATTTGTCACTACATACTCATAGCTGCCAATTTCTATGAGTCTATAATGCCAGTTTGGTTTTATTATTGCACACTCAAAGTTGCCACTCGTTTTATGTACGGAAGTTCTTTTTTCTGACGGCACTAAAACGTAGTCTTTTACTCAAGTGGTTCTGGTATTGTTCTGGAACGGTGATGGCTATTCTTAGCTAATATTTTCCTTTTAAAAATGGTATGAGACACACATATTTTTTTGAAATTCATTTTAAGAAATATCAAATTAAACACTCATATGAGTATGTAATCATTTTGTTCTAAATAGTTATTCTGCCTTAACTGGAGTGACCAGTAAGAATGATAATTTAACGGTACTCATAATTTAATTCCAAGTAAAGAAAGAAGGAAAACCCATTTCAAATTCGTGTTATAAAGTTATTTTTTATCACCAATGTATACTTTTTTAAATTATCTTTCGATTTAATTTCTCATGATAGATTATTCTATTTGACGTAAATAACTGGAATCGGACGATTCAACAAAAGATGATCACAAATCAACACATCAGTTGAAGACTGATGCCATACACAAGTAGAAGAGAAGCTGCAATTACACGATTTACGTTTGCATGTCAACGAGAATCTTGATTACCTAAATCGTCTGTCAAGAGCTGATGTATGTTTCCTTTGAAAAAGTCACGTGTACAGTTATTATGACTTTTTATTTATCGTTTTCTTTTTTCTAAACTGATTCTTTTGCTTGCACTAAACTATTTTTTTTAAACCTTTTTCTCTAAAAGCAGTGGGAAATGCGATGGTCATTGAACCAAAATATTTACCTTTCGTTAAATGAAAGGAAGAACTGTTTTTTTTTTAAATTTTTTTATTCATTTTTTAAGCTGACTAGGGTAATCTACTTTACTTCGTTTCAGAGAAGAAAAAAAAAAAGCCGAGCGCAGCAAACGAGGTCTAAAAATACACTATATTTGAGGGGAAATTACTTTAGGCGTATTATTAACGTTTGGAGGGAAAACAATAACATTGTTTTCATCGTTCCAAACTAAGTGCATTTCTGGGAATCTTAAATATCCACTACTAAAAATCTGTTTTATTTCAAAATGGTTCCTTACAAAAAGCATAGAAACACATTCCAAAATCAGTTTTTGGAGTCTTATTAATTTCTTCTGGGTAAATTTCCGATCTCCAGTTTGAAAAAAAAAATCATTTCTGATTGGTAGGAATGGTATTTTTATTTACGTCGCACTGAAGCTGCACAATGGGCTATTGGCGATGGTCTGGGAAACATCCCCAAGGTTGGTCCGAAGACATGCTATTACAATTTCGATCCTCTGCAGCGGGAATGGGCTCTCCGCTTCGGTAGCCCGACGATCTGTACGCTCAGTCTAGCACTTTACGATAGAACAGTTTAACGAAGACCGATACCGCCCACTCTCGGTCCCTATGTATCAAAGTACCACGTAGGCTGATCAAAGTGGTCACTCACCCACTTACTGATCGCAGCCAATGCTTGACTTCGGTGTTCTACTAGGAACCGTGTCTTTGCAATCAGTCCACTGCGGGACACTATTTCTGATAAAGAATATAAGTTTGAGAATTGAAGTCATCCTGGCTGAGTCGACTTATCACTCCGCCAAATGCTCTGTATCGTGAAGGTAGTGGGTTCGAATTCCGCCATAACACTGGATGTATCTTTGTGATGTCCTTTAAATTGTGTTTTATGTTCTTCATCTTGACTATGGCTTATAATGTACAATTAAATATATTATAATGGCTCTTGACAATGGCGTAATTTGTATTGAGCAAATAAGCTTGTATATGTATGTGTAACAATCTATGTAAATAAAGAAAAAATTTTATGTATACTATATACCGTATACAAATCTGTGATTATGAACCGATCCGCTCAAAATTATGCATAAATACGTTCGAAGACGCGGCAGACCTAACTGTCGACTTCAAAACTACATCTGACCACCAGTTCGCGTGCTACATCCCAAAAGAATGTGTTTCCCTTAAAATAAATATTTAAATTATAAGGCGATTTGTAAGATCTAATCAATCAAAAATTCTTTTTACGGCTCCTTCTTATGAATTATNCTAGGGTAATCTACTTTACTTCGTTTCAGAGAAGAAAAAAAAAAGCCGCGCGCAGCAAACGAGGTTTAAAAATACACTATATTTGAGAGGAAATTACTTTAGGCGTATTATTAACGTTTGGAGGGAAAACAATAACATTGTTTTCATCGTTCCAAACTAAGTGCATTTCTGGGAATCTTAAATATCCACTACTAAAAATCTGTTTTATTTCAAAATGGTTCCTTACAAAAAGCATAGAAACACATTCCAAAATCAGTTTTTGGAGTCTTATTAATTTCTTCTGGGTAAATTTCCAATCTCCAGTTCGGAAAAAAAAATCATTTCTGATACGTAGGTATGGTATTTTTATTTACGTTGCATTAGAGCTGCATAATGGGCTATTGGCCATGGTCTGGGAAACATCCCCGAGGTTGATCCGAAGACATACCATTACAATTTTGATCCTCTGCAGCGGAGATGGCACCTCCGCTTAGGTAGCCCGACGACCTGAGCGCGAAGTCGAGCACTTTACGAAGTCAAGTATCACTGGCTACGGTCAGTGTGCGGGTGGGTGACCACTTGGATCCGTCTGCGTAGGGACCGAGGGTGTGCGGTATTGGTCCTCGTTAAACTGTTCTATCGTGAAGTGCTCGACTTCGCGACCAGGTCGTTGGGCTACCGAAGC